ATGCCGAAACTGGGGTTGATGTTGGTCCAAGCTCCAGCGGAGCAAGGAGTACTCAATATCCAGAAGTAAATCGATGCCGCTGCACAGGGGGAGGGATCCATTGGCAAAAGCACTTCGGTATGCAATTCTATAATCTTTTTCACAGGGTAAGGCGCATACGTAACTATAAATTTCAAGCAGAGTTCTTCAAAAACTTAATACCGATTCAACAAAAGGGCAGAAGGGTGCCCATTACGTTGCAGGAGAAAAGAGATATTGAGATTGATAAACACTGGCACAAGGGCATATTCAAAAATTAGAAGAGCGCCCAGACAAATTTTTCGTTTCGCCAATTGTGATCACAGTGAAGAAGGACGGTTTGGTAAAACTTGCTTTGGAATCAAGGAAATTAAAGAAGCAAGCCCATAAAAATAAGTACCAGATGCCCAATATTGAGGAGCTAATGGATATTTTGGGACAAACAATAAGTGAACGGAAGCAAGGGGGACATTTTTCTCTTACAACAATTGAACTGACCTATGCGTACGGAAAATTACCTCTAAATGAGAATACCAGTCAACATTGCAACTTTTCTTAGTAGGAGGTCGTTCTAGTGGAACGTATTTGTTTAAAACGTGTTTCTACGGCTTAATTTCAACGGAATTTCAACGGGTCATGGACGTGATTCTTTCTGAACTTCCATGTGCGCACGCATTTATCGATGACATTCTAGTTATATCGCTAGTGGAGAAAATCTGTGAAAAATTTGACAAAAAATATGGCATTGAAATTAGAAAAATGTAATTCGCGAGAAATGAATGTTCATGATTGGGCCACCGGTTTACAAATTCCGTTATTACATCGTTGGTGCGAAAGATGGATCCCATTGACAAGTTAGCTCTTCCTAAGTCGCTGTCACAACTCAAGTCATTTATGGGTTCTATACATAGTCTTCATTAGTACTTACCGGCGCTCGCGGAAAACTCGGCGCTGTTGCGGCCACTCCCAAGCGAAAAAAATGAATTCATATGGACGGACGAATGTCAATTAGCGTTCGAAATGTTAAAGAAGCAAGTGGCGAACATTGTGGAATTTGAAACATTTCGACGTGCATAAGGATATCCGCATCGTGTGCGATGCGAGTCATAATGGCTTCGGGGGAGTTCTTGAAAAACTCGGATGCGAAAGATGGCGGCCAATTTCATTCGCGTGCCGATTTTCAAACGCGGTGTAGAAAAAGTTTTCAACTAATGAATTGGAACTGCTAGCAGTTGTCTGGGGCTCAACATTTTTTAGAAATTACAAATTTGGTAAGCAATTTGCAGTCCTAACAGATCATAAAGCTCTAGTAACATCTTTAAATGGGAATAACAAGTAAAAAAAGCATGTTTAGCCGCTTAACTCGTTGAATTGACAGAATAATTCCTTTTGATTTTAAAATTGAACACATGCCCGTAGCCAAAATCGGACTGGCCGATTATTCAATATGGCAACCAGTGGGGGAGGTATCGCGGGTGAGCCTTTATAATAATACGTTCACTCTGGCAAAAACATAATCAAATAACAATTCCTTCGGTTATCGAGTAGAGAAAACCACCGGAGTGGCAAACATCAAGTCAAGGATATCAATTTTTTCAGCTAAAGAGAGTAAAATATGCAAACACGGTTGCAAAACTCCACTGGATGAGGGCGGAAAATCATGTGATCGATCAGCAACTAATCAAAAAGCAACAATGTGCATAGTTGAGTGCAACGACGGTGAAGGCGCAATAAAGGTCAAAACGATAATTAATTGTCAATTGCGTGAGTCGAAAATTAATTCCATTCTTCCAATTCAATTTTAATAATTTTCCGATGGCGAGCATAAACTTGAAAAAAATGAAATAAGCTTTCGTTACAATACCTAGAAATTATCAGTGGAAGCAGAAGTGCTGGACTCAAGATTGGAGGCGGTGACTTCAGAAGCAGGGGACGTTAAATGCAACGTGGTAATTTCCATTCCATAGGCGTTTGGGGGGGGAGGTGTTTCCAGCGGCGTACCCAGCAATTATGGTAATGTCAGTGATACCATGAGACTGCAAAATTGTCAGGAAAAGCGACGCATTACCCGAATTGTTTAATTTGAAGTTAGTGGAGGCCAATAACAAGGGGATCCTCAGATGAGGGCGATCAAAGAGTTAGTGGAAGCCAAGGTCCCGGAACTCGAAAAGAAAATCCGCGCAATGGGAGCGTATTTGTGACAGCATACGCGCAATTTTCTTGTTCACGAGAACTGTCTCTGGATGGACGAACGACTCGACATCCCGATTCCACTTCGAAATGCGGTGGTAAACCGAATTCACTGTTTCCATCACGGCCTTATGAATATGTTTGACGCGGCGAGGGACGTGTGGTTCCCTTATATTCATCGGAGTTTGGTGGACGCCGCCGTTGACTGCAAGGAATGCACTGCCGCAAGTAAAAGCCTTCAACCAATATGCGCCAAAGGTGACATTGGGAAAACTTATGAACCTAAGGAGCCGAAAGAATGTCTACAATTAGACTTTTGAAGTACTTAAATGAGTCGGACAATTATTTTCTTGCTGCGGAGGATCAATTTTTACGGTGGCCGTCGACAATGAAATAATAAGAGCGATAAGGTTCTAAAATTTCTGAAACATTATATATCTCACCACAGTGCCCAGAAATTTTTTTATGGATCAAGGTTCTAGTTTTACATCCAAAGCTGTAAAATCGTTCTGTAATTCGGAAGGAATAGAAATTGTCTACTCGCCAGTAAATGATCAGCGAGTCAGTAAATTTGGAGGAGTGATGATGGACCGCATTTTTAAGGAGAGGCGAAATAAGGGGAAAGGAGCAAAGGAACGGGAAACCAACTAAGAAGGTGCCATCCACTGGAAATCGATAGAAGATCATTTAAAACTAAAACTTTGAAAAAAAAACTCTGTTTGTATGCCCAGGGAGAGGGCGGACCGCTGGTCTTGAACTCTAGCCTTTTTCTGTTTGCGTAATTTCAAATTTCAAAAATTAAAATTATTCAAGTTGAGGGAATGTCATATGTTTATAAACATTTCGTAGGATGATTTATTGAGTTCAGTTAAATTGTTTTATATTGTTTATTGAGTTTGTTTCCTGCGCCACTGGTGCTGTCTGAGATCTTGGAGCTAATTGATCAAGTACATGCCGGCTGATGTTGTGTGTGCCAGTTACCTGAAACAGTTGAAGCTGTTATAGTTTACGGAATAGCTGTAGACTTATTGATTAATAGTTTACAGTATTGAAATCGCGTTTTTCTCAGTCGTTTTTATGAAAAATTTTCCTTTGCGCAAAATCTACTCTACGAACTACAGATTTTGGCAACCGTAAAAAATCAGCGTGTGGGTATCTTTTTTGCGGGTTGGTCATTTTTCTCAAAAATACCTTCCAAAAAAATAATTTTGGATTTAGGGTTCAATTTTGAACAATTTTTGGTTTTTTTTTTAATTTTTCACATATGCTACCCGGCAATATTATGTTTAATGGTTAATTGAAAAAACCATGAAACAAAAACTTTCAATGCATAACTAGCTACGCCGAATTAAAATCGGTATTTCTTAGAACAAGTCCATGTTTTGATATTTTTACCGTTATTTCTCGAAAAATACTTAGCCAAAATTGAGGTTAAGCGTTCAGCCTGATGGGTTATTCCCCTGATTTATTAGAAAAACTGTCATGGTCTTAGGAAGATTCAATTTTTTTGAATTATTGACTGTTTTTTGGAAACTTTTTCTTTTTTCTCACAAACTAATTCAAAATTCAAACAGATGGAAAAATACTAGGAATCTCCTAATCAGCGTCCGGTCACTATCCTAGAAGAGAAACTCTTGTTCTTATCTGAAGTTCTATTCTTAAAATTTTGATCAGTACTACTCCGTCTTCCCGGATCAGTACAACATAAATTATAAATTAAAAATTATCACAAACAAATCTCCGCCAGCTTTTGCTGGACCCATAACATAATTCGTCGACCGACCCGAACTGAGACAAGTTTTTGACCGAGCAAAGTTGCGACCAAAGTAATGTTAGTCCAATTGTGCTCGACCAAGCAAAAACCTTTTGCCCGAGTTCCAGTAGGCAAGATTTTCGACCGATAAAACATCTCCCGAGAAAAGTACTCACGATCGTGATCAATTGAAGAATTGTATCCGGTTGAGTTCTTTGTAACCGAGGAAAATTACACAGAGGGAAGTCTGTTCAGCAGCCATCAATCGAGAATTGCATTTCAGTTGAGTCGTTTGCGTGATACAAAACCCTAAACTGTCAAATTTTCCGCTTAGTATACAATTATTTGTATCTTCAATTGATTTTTGAAAGTTTGAAAATCAAAACACTTCGTCGTTTTTCCTACCATCAAGAATTATGTAGTTCCTTGAAATTATCAAAAACACACCCCTTCTATTGGGCTAACAAATAATGATACGAGCAATAGCTTCAACGGTTGCCATTTTAGTAAATCGCAAGTTCCTTACATGTCTGTAAAGCAAATTTTGAAAACAAATTATTCAACTGATTCAGTCCATTTATATAAGGAGTTTTCGGAAAAGTCTGCGAGACGACTTCACGCTTTCTGAGGTTTACCATCGTTTAAAGGCATGAGAAGGTTATCAGTAGTTTAAAAAGTGTTCTCCATTTTCTACATTTTGACGTTTTTGCGTCAATTTTGTCAATGGGTTATTCTACTCTTTTTGAAAAAATTACCTGAAACACCCTGTAATGAAGTTGTTTTTTTTTGAGCTGGACTGTTTTGACTTTGTTTGCGTTATTCAGAATCTTGTTTCAAGTTTTTGTTTTGATTTTTTGTTCAACTTTGGTCGACCAACAACAGTGCAACGGAATATCTGAAAATTGAAAGAGCGACTTAAAAATCATGTATTTTAACAAAAAAATTTAAACAATCCTATAGCCTCAAAATACATTGACGTATTTTGACACATTTTTTTTCTGATGATATCATTGATCGTTCAAATAAGTTTTCGTTTCAGTTTCTTTGTGCAGCTGTCGTTCCGGAACAAAACACTCGACATGACAAACGATGTCCGATTGATGCCAAAGTGTAATGACGTAATGTGTGACTACGCAACCTTTTCGCAGATGGTAGCGCCCAAAGTGAACATGGATCCCAAAACAGCATGTTATTTGACTTCTAAGGACAAAAACTTGGAAACAAATCGCAAAAACTTGGTCTAGAATTCTAACAATTGTACTACATTTTACACATCATTGCCATATAAACAAGCGGAATAAATATATTGTTTTAGAAGCCCGTATCCATACAAAAAAAACATGAATCGACAATGTTCGATCCATGATTCAAACACTTTCGACTCATGATTCGACTCCATTTGCGGCATGATTCGAACCTACTTGACCCATATTTCGAAGCTGTTCGATCCAAGATCTGACGTTGATCGACTATTGGTTCTACCTTACATGACCACAATTCAAACTTTTCTTCTGAGTTTAGGTCCGGGGTGGCCTTCTCATAGAAAAATTTTGGATTGGGTACACCGTCTGTTTATCACTATCTATTTATCACGGAACAATTTTGTCTATTTTATTTTTGTTTGCTATTAGTGGCAAAAAATTTGCTGATGCTTTGAAATCATCTGCAGGAAGTTTTCCAAAGTTTTATTGTAGTGTCGAGAAAAACCGATTTAAGAGTTTTGCTAGTGTTATAAAATTGAGCCGCTAGAGAGCGCAAACTCTGAACTCTAAGCATACAAGAATCCAAAAACTATTGAAGCTTTTGGTGTTCTTCTGAGCACTTTTCCACTATAAAATCATCAGAAAAATCAAACGATTGTAAATGTTTTGAAAAGTATTTTTCAGAAACATATTAAATTTCGATACGACCTAAAATTATTGTAAAATTAGAGCGCGTACCGCCGTCTTTCATTATATCTCAAAATGTAATCAGAAAGTTTCAGCAACTGATAAGTGAACTTCCGATTATTTGAAAACCATTGCAGCGAAGTCTTCGGCAGTTTGTTTCTGCTATAGTTTGTCCGCGCGGTAATTCCATGAAGTTTTATCAATTACAGTGGCGCGTCGAGCTGAACCGACAAAAGTTAATTACTTGCACGCAAAACTGTTGTCACAAATACTTGTTAGAAGTTCTGGTTTTCTACAACTTGAAGCCACCCTCCGGAAACACAAAATTTAGGTCATTTAGCCGAAACAAGGTTTTTCAGCAAACAAAAGGAAAGTATTTCATACAAAGTCAGAATTATAAAATAATTAATTTCATGATCCAAATGTGCTACAATATTAAGTTATATATAAACGTTTGGATCTAGGCGCAAACACTTGTTCAATTTGTTGTTCTTATTTACTGGTGAGTTGATTGCGTACTTTTCAAGCATGTCTAGCAGTCTATTTACTTTGTCCTGTAAGTGTATAGGTAATTAAGTTGTTTTTTGAAAACTGCGTCTGGTTTTAGAGGAAGATGTAGTGGTGAATGGATTTTTTCCGATACCAAGTTTTGACGTAGCAAAATACATTTGGGAATTTTAATATTAAATTTGCTAACTTTTCAGGTTCTTCTTGGTTAATTTGAGAGTATTGAAAAATAAACATGCTTAAAATTTTTTGTTGCTCTGATGTATTTTTCTATATTTGGAATGGTATAATTTTTTCGGGTATGTTTATGTTTTATTTGTAGTTTAGCGTTCAACATTTTATTTGTTGGTGTTTTTTTAGTTATAAATGGTATGCCTATAATGTTATGCTTAACAGTTGTGCTGTGGAATATTCGCTTAAACGGTTTTTGTTGAGAAATAAGTGAGTTCGTTAATTTTTGTTGGTTGGAGAGATAAGTGAATTTTTGTGAGCTGGTACCTTGCGCCGTAGCAAAACCACTTAATGTACTTTGAAGTGTAAAATTTGAATGCAATGAGTGAATTTCATTCCATATTTTGATGTTTATAACCTTTGATTCTACACCTGAGTCAATATCGATATCTGATGTTTTTGAATGTAAAATATCGATTGAACATTCCTACTTTTTGGGCTTTTTAAAAAAAGGATACGGTCAAGATTCTTTTTTTTGGTCGAGGCAATTTGGGAGTTGTGTTTTGATCGACATGGTCTGTGTTCTCACAACTTTCGTGTAGATGTGGAATAATATTGATGTTTCTCATGTGACTTGTGTGTTAATCATAAGCCTTTTTTTCCGAATTTTCATTTTGACAAAGGTCTGATTCAACAGGAGTTTCATATTCATGTTTAATTCCTAATATGTTACTTTTTAATATACTTTCGATTTCACTTTTGTTATATCTGCTTCTCTATGGTTCAATTGGAATTCGGAGTTTTCATTTTGTGAGGGTATTCAATCTTTGAGGGTCAGTTCATAATTTTCAATTTTGGAGAACAGGGTTGCTTCGGATGTAGATTGTACCTGGTTAATTTGTCCTTGAAGTTTTGATTTACTCCTTCTGTGGTTTTCATGTTTTCTATTTGACAATTTTGAATTTTTTCTACGTGGTGACTGTGAAAAATATCTTGATTGTCTTTTTTGATAGCTATTGTCTCGATATCTATTATTACTTGAAGCTTCACGTGATCTGTAGCTATGTTTTCTTAAATGTTTTTGTTTGAATTAATTGTTGAACGATTATTTGAATAATTTTTGTCGCGGGTGATTTAAAATTGTTTATAATGGTCTTTAGAATAATTTATGTTGCGGTTGTTTGAATACGTATGGTTTCTGTTATAGTTAGGCTTATTGCTTCTATTTGAATCTAATCCTGAGTAATTGTTTCTATATTGACTATCGAGGCTATTAGAACAGCTATCTATAATTTGAGTACTATAGTATGAATAATTTCAATCTGGTGATTTTCCTTGAAGTTATGATATTTTTTTTGTACGGATATTGCAATATGTTGTTATTATAGACAGATGAAACTGGTGTTCCTGATATATTTTTGCTTTGAATTTTTCTGTTTTGTAAGTTTTGGTCTTTTTTCAAGTATTGATAAAAAAGTTTGCTTGATGTTTTGTGTTTTTTGGTGATTTTATTGATACGTCTTGTTGTTTTTGTCTCCATTCCTGAATGCTGAACCCATCAACACCATTTTTGAATGAGGTTTTTCTTTTAAAATTTCGATTCTGTTGGTTTGTATTGAGAGTTGTTTTAATCTTTCTCCTAATTCAATGTCAGAATCTCTTATGATATTTGTTTGCGAGAAAGTTGTTTGAATGTTTTTAGGTTTTCTGTTTTTTCTAGTTTTCTTGTTTTTTCTTCATATTCTAATTTTTCTATGAGTTTGCGAAGATTTATATCGGCGTGATGCCTTTTATTTGTTACTGTTTTTCTGAATTGTGAAGTTTAAGTCATCATTAAAGCGTCTGTCATTTTTGTGTTTTGTTATCATGTGTATTTAAAACATATGCTTTTCTTACTATTGTTTCTATTCTTAAGGCAATTTTTTTTATTGTTTCAGTTAGTAATCTTTTTAAAACGCTTTAATCTTATCTTTTTTTGAACCAATCTGTAATTTTTTTTCTAATGAGTTTCCAATCTGATTTATTTTCTATTGGTCCTACTGAAAAGTTTTTTTGAGCTGCTTCGTCAATTTCGGTTTGTGTTAAGGCTGTAACTAATTGAATTCAGTTTCGATGAAGAGGGATGTTAATTGGTTCTGGGCCTATTTTTAAAAACAATTTTGGTCTAACAGAAATTAAATGATGTTCAACTTAGTAATTAGTCTGTTCTCGTGAGAACCATTGGCGGTTTGCTGGATGTAATGGATGCTTCACCCATTAGGTATGGATTCATCATCATTTGTTATGATTCTGCTGTATTGAGCAATTGAGTAGCATTTGTAAGCTGATTTCAGCTATTTTCATGTTGTTGTAAGTAATATGGCAACGGTATTTTATTTCTCATTGACCCTGTTTGGTAGCCTTGAGTACACATTGTATATTGTATTTTTATATCATGACATTTTTGTGGATAATTCAGTTTCAGTGATAATTTAGTCTTGTGTTTTCGATTTCACCTGTAATTTAGACTTTTGTGATTGATTTTTTGGTGAGTCTAAAAGCGTTTCAAAAAAATCTGATTGCTAAATATCTTCTGTTTCATCAATATTGTTCCTTTGCTATTTCCGTTGGTTAGCATGTTTTTTTTTTATTTTCGATGGCCTTAATCTTCATCTTCGAAGAAGTGAAGTGGAATTGTGTTATTGAAGTGTCCATTGGTTGGATATTTTTCATTTTGATAAAACATCGGGTAATTTTCTATTTGGTATTTTTGAGTGTTTCGTGTATAATGAAAACGTACCGATTATAGAATAGAATTGTTAGGTTGGTGCTGACTATAATTGTGGTCATGAATTTGTGATTGTTTTGTTTGAATCCTTCGTGCTATTGGATGATTTCAAATATTGTTTGCAGAAAATATTAGTTATGGTTTGCAAAGTGATTTACATTTTTTTTGCTCATTTGAAGGATCGTGTTTTGGTTGTCGGTTTATATGTTTGATAATCTGTTTGCGAGTATTTTGGGAAAAACCAGTTGGTTTAGCTGTTAATTGTAATATTGGCTGTGAGACCAAGTATTGTTCTTGTTATGTAGTGTTGTTTTTGTTGAGTGAACATCTTGAACTTTGTTGTGTTGTTACCGATATTGTGGTGACAGTTTTTTCTGTTGTAAACTAAGATGGTGGTTGAATATTTTGCTGGCTAAGTGTTATAGTTCCATTCAGATTTTCTTGTGTCTGCATGAATAGTGAATTCAGACTTTCATCATTTGTTGTATCGTTTCATAGTTTACTGATGTCGTATTTGTAGTTAGGGGATAAACTTCAAATAGTTTTTACTTATTGATATAATTTCAATTGCTGAGCTCGAAATATCATATGTTATGTCAAAAAACGGGGTCCCAGACATAATCTGTTTCATCTACCAAGATTGCATCTTTGATCACACTCTGTGCGAAAACTATTTCTAGGTTGCGCAATTAGGTCTAGTTTGTCTTGAAAATAAATCTATTATAACAATGCTAGTAAATTTGTGGATCGAATTTAGTTTTTTCGAAATGTCTGTATCTGTAAGTTTTTCGCTAATTGCTTTTAGGAGTTGTTAAATTAAGTACTTGTGTTCCTACTGCTGTATGTCTGGATGTTTATGATCGTAAAAAATAAAATATTTCACATGTATCTAAAGTGGAAAGACAAGTTTACAGGATTGAAAAACATCTATTGTGAAGATCGAATCTGCCTGTTGTGAATTTTGTTGTTGTATTTTTTTTGATATTTTCT